AATGAGAGGTGAGATTATTGTAGATTAGCAAAGATCACAAAAAACTCACACATATATTCAAACATGAGAATGCATTGATCAAAAATGTGTTTTTCAATATATTTCTCTTACCCCTAAGTAACTTAAAAAATAAACCAAATTTATACATTGAAAATTTGATTTTTAGGCGATTTGGGTCCTTTGTAGATATTTAAAATTTTTACTGAAATACTGAGAAATTGCTGTGATTCAAGTGGGGTTTTTAAAGAACAAAAGCATTATCTGTTTAGGTATGTATTAAAATAACTTATCAAATGTAAGTGTTCTAGCTGCTTGTTAATTGGATTGCACAGTAAGAAATGATTCCTTGTTTATCTAGATTCTGCAGGTTGTGAATCTAGGTCTCTAAAAAAACCTGAAGCTTGTATTCCCTGTTCCTCTGAGAGTTAATAGGAATTGTAAAATTGGTGTGATTATTTTCTTCTTTATATAATTTCCTCTTTCTTTCATCTCTATAACCTCTCCACAATGCTGCTTATCTTCCTTTTGCAACACTCTTCCTGAGTTATTTTTATGGGTTTCAGAATGTTCCAGAGTAAAAAGTCTGAGCATACAAAAGATGATGACCATTTGCAAGTATCTATTTAAAAATCCTTTTCATTATTTGTATGATTGCAATCTAAAAGTTATATAATTAATTTAAACTGAGTTAAAAATACTGCATCTTAGAAGCTATTTAGTATTGCCAAGTAAAGGCAACTGGATTATTTTCAGACATCATGTAAGTCTAAATGCCAGAAATAACTCATTAACATGCTGAGTTCCCATTATATATTTATAAATTGTTTTGTTCAGGAAATATTTTTGAGCAGTAGTTTTTTTCCATAATAACTAACATTTGTTGAGCATTTATTTATTAATACCTGTGAGGTATTCCACTAATTAATTGTTTTACATGTATTGGATAACCTTCAAACGACCCTATAATATAGAACTGTTATTTTCTCCAAATTTTTGACGAGCCCACTGTGGCACTGTGAAGTGGATGTGTACTAACTTGCCTGATTGACAGCTGGTTGAGGAGGGAGTTGAGAATGGCTGCCAGTCTAACTCAAGGGACCGTGCTCTTAACCACTTCCTTCTCACTGCCTCTCAAGGCACGGCTCCATGAACTAGTCACAGAGCCAACCTTCAGAGATCTCATGGACTGATAAAACTGTACAAGCTGTACATAATTTAATTAAAATACAGATACAAAATATTATCTAATATTAACTAATATTAATACCTTACTAATATTAAAACTTTTACTCATGCACCTATGAAGGGAAAGAAATTTTTACATGGGTGAATACTGACTTGTTGTTGGGGTGCAATTGAAAATTAAAAAAAAATTTTTTTGGTCTTCTGGGAAGAAAACCCACCTTATAGCAAGGTCCATAATCTCTTTAGAAGTGCTTTTGGTCTGAACAGAGGTTTGCTTGTCACAGCCAGGTCTGTGGTGGCAATCCCGCCCCCACCCTGATGTCCCCGGACCACTTTTTCCCAAGTATGCTGTGGACCCAATCTGAAGGTCCCTCAGCTGGGCCACACCCTGTTCACAAAGTTTCAGCGATTATCTTTGGAGCGTTTCTTCAGAGATGCAGTGTTGTATTTGCTAAGAGAAGGGGATAGTCATGGAAGATTTTATGGAGAAATGTGATACAGAAATCTTTCAGTGTAATTGGAACCATAGTAAAGAATTACTCATGTTTTTGAAATGAGAGAGGAAGATCTTAAAAGACATTCACCAATACAGAAGTTGTGTTTGTTTCCTTGTCACACTAGGGCAGATCTGTGCAGAAGTCTGACTAGAGCCTCAGGGACGAGGATGCAATTCGGAGAACTTCATGAGCAGTGTCAGCTCCTACCCGAGTCCTGTCTTCCTTTTTCTCAGTCCCTTCAACTGGCTTTTCTTAGTCTTCCATTTACAACACTTGAAGCTCCTTATCTGTCAGGGTTTAATCCTTAACAGGCTCAGCCTATTTTCTATTTCGTTAGTAGACTTGTGGAATAGCTGCCGCATCAGGGATATTCTTTGAAAGGTTCATTTCACTGGCACTTATTTTTGTCCTTCCTAAGAATGCTGTGTTTAGGAAAACATAACGAGAAAATTCTCTTTGGATTAATTTACTGAGAGACTACATAAATCAAAACATGCATTTTTTGTTCAAATAACAAGGAAATTTTCTCTTTTAGCAAGAATAATCAATTTTATAAAGACGTAAGCAAAGGCCTATGTTTTGACTAGCATTTGTTGTTAGCTTCGCTGAAAATTATAATAGTCGAATTTGATCTAAGAAGTGTTAGAATATGTGTCTCAACAACGAAATTTGAGAATGTTATGTTTTTAAATGTTGAAATCTAAATGATCAGTAAAAGAGTTGGCTGTGGATGTGGTATTGTCATCTCTAGGAATATTCCATAGCCAGAATGCTTAATTTTATCTCTTCAGGAAGGGAGCATTAATATTGGTTGTGTTATGGTGTTTCCCTTTACTGATTCATTCAGTTGATCTACTGAGAGATCAAAGAATGGGAGGCATTTAAAAGAGAACTAAACTTACATAAAAATATTCTACATATCTAGTGCATTCAGAAGTAAATCTTCCCCATGTAGGATTTGATCTTAAAGAAATTAAAGAAGAAAAGAAAAAGTAGAGAGTATTTTCCACAACCTCTAAAAGATATTTATGAAGTCCATGTAAAGTTTTAAAAATTAGTAACTCTGGACACGTGCAAACTATAATNCCTTTCCTTCCCTGATTTGTGCATTACTTTAGTAATGTTAATTGGATGTTTGATGGTGTTCCTATGAAGATGTTATGTACTCAACTTGCATTGGTAAATGTATGTAATACATCTGTAGAAATATTGCCCAAAAAGTGCCTTTGGCAAGACACTTATTGATGGTTAGGTAGTTTGAAGATAGGTTAAAAATGTAACTTAAATAATGGGAACAACTTATTTGGTATTAAATCTACTATATAAGTTAGAAGAGAATGAAGATGGACAGAACTTTTACGATAGGAATTTTTGGACCTGAATTGTACTGTTAATTTCCTTTTGTTATCCAGGTTCACTTTGATGGCTGGAATAGTTGCTACGATTACTGGATAGATGCAGATTCTCCTGATATTCACCCTGTAGGCTGGTGTTCAAAAACCGGGCATCCTCTTCAGCCTCCTTTGAGTAAGAAACACATGGATACAAAAGTGTTTCCATTTTCTTGCGTGGTGTGCTTAATCATTTCCCCCTCGCCTCTCTCTTCCTGCTTCTCTCTCTACTGCCCATCTCTTCTCTGTGTGTCCTTCTCCCTCTTACTGCATTTTTAATTACCTGGAAGTCAACAAAAATATAAAAGAAAAAAATTTGATGTCTGAAAGAGTCAAGTGTGTATAGACATTCTTTTACTTTTATTTAGAAATAGTCATCTTTTAAAATTTATACTGAATTTTTGGAAGACAATTTGTCAAGACTATAAAAATTTAATGTATCAACATCAGTATCCTGATAGTGATTTTTTACTATAGTTTTGCAAAATGTTACTATTGGGAGAAACTGGGCAAAGTGTACAAAAATCTTCCTCTGTATTACTACTTTAGACTGCATGCAAATCTGCAGTTACCTCCATAAACCTTTCAGTTAAATTCAGTTAAAAAGAATATTAAACAAGAACTTGACATACCATGATATCAATTTTAGAGGAAAGTATACACATTGTAGAAAAAAATATGTCGGAAATATAATAAATTATCATCAAGTTTTAAAAAAAATTTAGCATGTCCTTTTCATCTAGTGGCTTCACTTTTGGATGCCTCTTAGGAGCTGCATAAGGGCTCTTTTAAAAAATGCACGGACATGGTATTGGTTACAGTATGTATGAAATAACAAAAGTTGGAAACAAATATTGGTTAAGTAAATTAGGGTGCACCAATACTACATATACTATGCAACAGTCATAAAGAATATTACTATTGAGATGGAAAGATTTATAAGATGTGAAGTT